ATCGAGTTGTTATAGAGTATTATAGGGAATCTAGCTCTTATAAAATATTGTAGCTTTCCAAATTTGTTGTGAAAATATATTATGTTAAATATTACATAAAATAAGAATTATATAATATAATTATTTATGATAGAAAGAGATAAACTTATTGTACAAACTTTCACGTTTAATGGTTGTCGAGGTGTTATAGGATATTATAGAAATAAAGATTTTATAGGATACTATATATCTTTCAAAATTTGTTGTGATAATATATTATGAGAAACGTATTATAAAATAATAATAAATGCATAACATTATTGTTTATAATAGAAAAACATCAATTTATTGTACAAATTTTGATGTTTAACATTATCAAGTTTTTATAGAGTATTATAGGAAATATAACTTTTATAGAATATTATAGCTTCCGAAGTTTGTTATGAAAATATATTATAAGAAATGTATTATAAAATAACAATAAATGCATTATATCATTATTTATGATTGAGAAACATTAACTTATTTTATGAATTTTTATAATTAGAAATATACAAAAGTACTGTATTATAAAATATTATTGAATTAGATAGAAAACCTATTTGCTGCAACATTAGTAAAAGATTCGTCATATTAGTTTACATTGATTTTCTATCCACTTCTTTGAGATTCATTCACTTTCTATCTATTAATTTAAGCAGGGTTGCCAACCCTGTATCTAACCTTGTTTAACATACGGTAAATAACGAAGACAGACATAGAATATCACCGGGCAGACGGTAGACTAAACTACGTACTGTGCGATCCACGTGTTTCGTTTTGTTTGTTCTATTTGCTGTGTATTATTTTGCATTGTTCGCATTATAAGAAAGTAAACAGTGAAAAATTGTGAAAGTGTGAGGCAATTAAATCATATCACGTTGTATAGCTTCAGTATGTACTTCTGGATACGATTCCAATACAGAAAAAGTACACTTTTTTTGCGTACCCAAAGATGAAAATCAAAGACAATTGTGGCTGGCAGCATTAAAAAGAAAAAATTGTATTATCAAACATAAACAGACTTTATGTGAAAAACATTTTTCATCTGAAGATATTTTGTGGAGTCAAACAATTTATAACAAAGAAGGAAATATTCTTGGCAAAGTAAGTTTTATTTCTAGGTTATTGTCTTTAATTAATATAAATAATCATTAATTTTATATTATAACTACATTCATGATCTGTAAATATATCAATTATATTAATTTTATAAAATTAATTTTTGTGATTTTCATGTTTTTTTAGACTGCACCATTCAAAATTCCTTGTTTACGTAAAAATGCTGTTCCAATATATTTCCCTTGGACAGAAGAGACAGGAAAAACGCAAATCAATTTGCAAAAAGAACAATTATCTGAGGAACATGAAATACCTGCAAATATTGAAACAATTGAAACAAACAATATTGAAAAAGAAAATGAGTTTTCATTTAATAATGTCATAGACATTCTAGAAAAAAAAATTTACATTTGCCAAATCAATGGACATATATTAAATATGTAAATGAGGATACAAAATTGTTGGTATTTTATTTACCAATATGCAATTTAATTAACGATAATAAAAATAGCTACACACTTAATCCTTTAAAAGAAGTTATACTAAAAGAAAATATGACGTTACAAATAAATGTTTTAAAACATCGCGTTAAAAATATTTTGTCAGAAAGTATGCAAATATATGGTACTATTGAAAATATAGAACAATTAAAAAAATCATTGTTTTCTGTGGATGAATTAAATATATGTTCAGATGCAGTTAATAGTGCAAATAATATTGAAATACTTGGACATAATTTAGCTTTTAAAGATATTTGTAATACATGGAGGCATAAAGAATGTTTATTATTAATACCACAATCATCAAAAAAATGCAAGTATTGCTTGAACATTAAATTGTCCTTGAATCGAAAGGAACGTCGTATGAAAATGATTAAAACAATTCAAAGAACTAAATTTTCTAATTCTCAGTTGACAGTACCAACAGTTATGACAGAAAATACAAAAAAATTATTATTATTGCAAAAAAAATATTATAAATCAGAAAGGATTAAAAAAAAAAATAAATATGTAGCAGATAAATTGCAGACAGAACTTATGAATTGTATGACTAAAATAAAAGAAATATCTACGCAAAATATCGAAAATCAATTACCAAGGAAGGAAATTCCCAAAAATCAGATTACCGCCATACACGAAATAATACAAGCTGCAAAGCATAAAAATCCAAAAGGTTGAAGATATCATGAAGAATGGATTCTATTATGTATGCTTAAGCATATGAAATTACCGGCTGCTTATGAATTACTTCGAAACAACCAAATATTACCTGTTCCATGATAGGACTATATGCAGGTAAATGTAGGACAAATAGAAAAATACTATAACATAATTTCTATTGTAAAATATGTTAATGGAAGTAATTATTTTTAATATTTTATTCTTAACTCGATAAAAAATTAATTAATAGTAAATGCACTTTTTATTAATTATTCAGAAAAATTTTTAAAATAAAGTTTATTAACTAAATTTTTTAAATATATGTAACATATGCTATATTTTAATCATTACATAGATTTTATATTCTAATTATTCTATCTAAAAAAAGTGTGTAAAATCGATTACTTGCATTTCTCAAAGTTTATTGTTGTCGCTTTTCCGCAATGCCGATTGGTTACATTTTAATATCATAGGCATTAACTTTTTTTAGATATCTTTCTTTAATTGACACACCGTGTGGTTTCGATAAAAATTTTTTGAGATGTTCAAATCAGCTTTAAACAAAAAAGAAGAAAAACAAAAGCATGGTGTAATCCTTCTTGACGAAATCCATCTTAGACAGAGTATAAATGTAAATTCCAAAAAACTTACATATACTGGTCTCGTTGATTTTGGAATTGATGGACTACAAACATCAAATCTAGACGAAAAAGCAGATCATG